CCCCATCCAGGATGAAGAGCAACCGCTGCGGCTGAGCCAGCATCTGTGCCACAGGCGCCAGGCGGTCCGGGCACTGGTCTAGGACGAGGTCGGCCAGGCTGCGCGCGCCGGGCCGATCCAGCAGCTCGCGGCACTGCAGGAAGAAGGCGAAGTCCACCTGACCGCGGTACAGCTTCCCCGCTGCCCAGTCGTACAGGATCTTCTTGGCCGCCATGGTCTTGCCGATACCCGCAGGGCCCTGCAGCACCACGGTCAGCGGCCGGTGGCCCTCGGCGTCGCTGCCGAACAGCCGGTTGAAGGTGTGTGTGTCCGAGCGCCAAGCACGCCCCGGCTCGCGCTCCTCCACAGGCCCCAGAGCTGCCTCCTCCTCCCTGGGCGCCGCGCTCTCGGGCGCGATGAGCAGCTTGGTGAAGCGCTGGCTGATCTTCACAGAGCGCGCGTTCCTTTCCCTCACCTTGGCGTGCTGCTGCAGCACGTGCTCTCGGTATTTCTTCTGGAACTCTGTGGGGCAGAGACACGGAGGTAGAGGCTTGGCGCGCGGGGCGGGGGGCTCGCCCTCACCCAGCCTCAGTTTCCTCTCCCGCGAGGAGCCTCAAGGAGCTTAGGACGCGGGAGCCGCACCAGAGCCACCTACCTAACAGAGAGAATAGCGCCGTGGAGCTGGGGCCGAGCCCTGCAAGGGAAACCGCTTTGAGGCCCGCGGGAGCGCTTGGGGTGGGGTGGTGGGGGGTGGTGCCTGGGGATGGAGGCTTTCTTGGGAGCATTCGGGTTCGCAAATTTGCAGATAAAGTGCAGGGGTTGTACTGATAAGTGGGAAGGAAAGATGCCTCTCGGATGGGGGGGGCTCCTCCCGGGAGGGCAGTAGAGTGCCCGCTCACGTTGTAGCCGTTGCGCCTTGAGCCGAGCTGCCACGTCGCGCACATCAGCCCTCTTCAGGGTCCTGCGGGTCACGTCCAGCGCAGACTCCGGCCCGTAGAAGTGGGTCAGCTGGTCCACAAGGTCCACGGCGTCCGCGCGCTCCAGCCGCCCCCACGGGATACTGCGGCCATCCACGGGCGCGTCCCGCAGCTTGTGGCGGAAGCGTTTCAGCTGGTCCTGGCTTAGGTCCTCCAGTGCAGCCAGGAGCAGCTCGCGGGCGGTGGCTGCACGGGGCTCCAAGCTGTGGGCAGGCGCAATGGGTTCTTCTGAGCTCTGCCTTTGTAATCCCAACCCCACCCCGAGTCACCACGGCTAGCAGAGGACTGTACACCTACCTACTCCTCTCGGGGTCCCACACCAATGCATGCTAGAGATCCAGACGATGGAGGGAACCCTAGATTCTGTCCTCCCCTCCTGAGACTCTGGGTCTATCTCCCACCAGGTGCTGCTTGGGGAGCAGTGGGTCTCTCCATGGCCACCGCTGACCCGTGGGTGAGCCTTCCTGCTGCATTTCTGCCTCCTTCCTTACACACACATGGTCAAACGTCCAGGAAGTCACGTCTACAGGGCCTGGGCTCTTCCCTTTTGCTTTCCCTTTCCTTCTGAGAGCAGGAGCCAGCGGATGGGCAAAGCCCCTGCTGTGCCCACGAATTCCCCACCCCAGTGTCCAGCAGGTTTTTCTGAGGCTCTGCCTTGGGCCCTTGCACCAGGGGCTGAGTCTGAGCCCTGGTATGAAACAGACCCCTGAAGTGCCCTGGGCATGGTGTGAAGCTCCAGGAAATCAGCACAAGGTGAGGACCCCCACCCCGCTGCAGAGACCAGCCCATGCCCAATCTGGCACTTACCTGGAGCAGAAGACACTGGCCTTGTCCATGGAGGCTCTGCGTGGGTCTGGCACTCACTCAGAACCAGGCAGGGTGGGAGAGGCAGCCAGCCCTTTCCCAGGATGCCTCAGCCAAGTCCTAGGGTGGGAGTGGCTCGGCCTCATCCATTCCCCAGGTCTGAGCCTTCTGGTAAGAGTTCCTAGGCTCCCAAACTCAGGCCAGTGTGGCACCAGTGCACTGTCACCCTTTAAGTACTTGGATTGGTGACCTTTGGTTTTTTTACTCTTCTGTTAACAACGCTGAGGTGGAGGTATTGGGGTGTGGCTGAGAGCAGGTGGCTGCAGAAGGGGTGGGCAGCACGAAGGGAATATTGGCTCAGAATTGGTCTTCAGCTAAGGCCTCCATGGGATTAAATTCTGCAGGCAGGTGAGAAGGGGCTTCCAGGCAGAGGAATGCTAAGAGCAAAGAAGGAATGTGCAGGGATGTTGCCTGGGCACAGGAGGACAGGCGCTGGAATGTGAGGACAGGGACACAAGTGCTGCTGCAACCCGCACCAATCCTGAGGAGGTTAACAGGCACAGGTTTGGATGCGAGGAGTGTTGTGACCCCAAATGTGGGGTTCCCGGGTCTTCATGGGGGTGTGACGTGTGCGCATTGGCACATCTGAGTGGCCACACTAACACTGTGCTAGTGTGAATGAATTTGAGGTTGGCTAAATAATGGTCTCCAAAGACAACAAATCCTAACCCTGGGATCTGTGAGTGCTCCCTATATACCAAAAGGGACTCTGTAGGTACAATGTAATTTAGGATCTACAGATGGGGTGGTATCCTGGATTACTCAAGTGGAGCCAACATGTCATCACATGTGCCATCACGTGGAGGTCGAGAGTGATTTGACATGCAATAAGATGCTGGCTTTGAAGCTGGAGGAAGAGGCCAGGAGCCAAGGTACCTAAGGAAGATGCCAAGGTGCCAGAGCCTGAGACACAGTGGCCAAACCCTCACCTGGAGCTCAGCCAGTGAAACTGATTTTGGATTAAACCTCCAGAACTGTGAGAGAAGAAACCTGCTCTTTTGGCCATTGTGTTTGCTGTGGTGTGTTAGAGTGGATGCAGACTCTCAGCATGGACCTGTGAACAAGCTAGTTGCCCTGGCACCCACCTGTGCAGCTCATCTATGCCCCCATCCCTTTTTCTCAGAAGCCTAGGAGCTTCTCTGGGGAGGAGTCTCAGAGCCTGAGAGTCTCATGTGCAGCCTTGATACATCTGAGCCCCATTTCTCCCTATTTAAGACCAATAGGCCCCCGTCCCTGAGGAGGCCTAAGGTAATCAAAGGCATGGCTCCTATTTAGCATCTCCAGACCTGCCTAATCAACCTCAATCTTTCCAACTCCAAGTGCCTTCAGTGCCTGAGGTATCTTGGTGAATAGGGGCTCACAGGCTGCTGACAGACTAAAGGGGATTGGCCTGGAGGGAAGGTGGGTGCCAACATCACGATTCAGGAGGTGGTGTGCACCTTTTAAGGGACTTTCATGACCAGGAATTAATTTCTCATCACAGAGCCCCAGAGGCAGGCCTGAGGTCCCTGACTCACTAGGACTCTGTCCTCTCAACATGCTGGCTGGGATTCATCTTCTCTGAAAGGCTGGGATTCTGTAGGGGGGACTTTGCAAGGCAAAGCAACAACCTTGAGAACAAAGGGCTTTTGGTGGTGGTGGTGGGGTCTGGGCCCTGTGCAGTGTGGTGGGTGTCACTGGGCTCCAAGGGCACTGTTCCACCATAAAGACCCCAGTGGCCCTTGCTGACTTCTGGCTCAGCCGAGCTCTAACCTGAGATTTCCATACTGACAAGTTGCTCTTCAATAAACATTTACTTTTCTCTATAAATTCTTGAAAAGAAGTTCACCACGGCCATGTCTTCCTTTCACTGTCATTTAAAACAGAAAGCACAGGGCCGGGGATTTAGCTCAGTGGTTCCACCAGCTGCCTCGGGAGCGCAAGGTCCTGAGTTCGATCCCTGGTACCAAAACAAACAAACAAACAAACCAGAAAGCACAAAGTCAGGCTGCCTGGATCCACTCCTGGATGTGCTTCCCAGTAGCTGTGTGACTTTGGGCAGAAGGCTTCTCCTCTCTCTGTACTTCTGTTTTTCCATCTGGCACAGCTCTTCTTTCATGGGAGAGAGGTATGAGGGCTGTGCCTTGGGCACTTGATGTCCTCAGCCCTTCATCTGCAGGTGGATGCTACCATTATTGTCCTGCTTTCCAGAAGCTGTGCTTTCCAGCCCATCAAGAATGTTCCACTGTCAGCCCACTTTGGTTCTCATTCTAAATCACCCTTCAGCAGCCCTCAACATGGCCAGTGTTGCCTCTTCTTTGAAAGGCTCTCTTCCTGTTCTGGAAGGAGTGGAGGACTGTGGTGCCAGGGGCTGTGTTCTCTGCCCTGAGGTTTGCGATTTGGGAACTCAGAGCACTTTCAGCCTCACTACTGCACAGGAGGGGCCACCCCATGGTGGACTCTGCTCAAGAGCTCTTGATATCTCTGGCAGTAGGCCAGGGAAGGCTGATAACAGGAGCCAGTTTCAGAGCCATGGGTGGGACTTTGGCTGGGTGGAGGGGGGTGGTAGGGTGTGGTGGGGGGGGGTAGGGTAGAGGAGGAAGAAGGGAGGAGCAGACAAGATAAAGGAAGTTGGGAGGGAGGGGAGGGGAACCAGCTCCATGAGCAGTGACAGCTGCTTCTAGATTTATGTCACCATGATGCCAGCTTCTAAATAGAGCCTCTCCTCAGGTACAGCTGAAATCTGGAACAGAGTGTATATTTCATGGTGTTTACACATTACCCAGCAAAACTTCATGGCTCTGTCAATTTTTTCTTGACATCAACCTTTGCCTTCATGGCTGCTGAGAAGGTGTCCCTGGGTTCTCTAGGTCCTTTAGTGTCATCCTTCCTGCCTCTATGGTTTTTCTTCCTCAAAAGGCCTGGCTTTGGGTCATTTCAGATGCCCAGAGAAGACTGGGCATTTCATTTTCTCATCTCAATATCAGAAAAAAAGAACTTCCCAGAGCTCCACCTGCTGTCCTTGGAGAAGTGGATGAGGAGAGGAGGGGTGTCCCGGCACTGCCCACCCCATGTACCCAGCACTGATGACAGAACATGTGCTGAGAAGGACACAGTCTCCTGGAACTAGCTCAAGAAGGAACAAAAATCTTTAGACCTACTTATAACAGAGAAAGAGATTAAAAATTTTTCCTGTAAAGACTAGCATTGGACTCTAGGGCTTTCCTGGAGACTCCACCAGATGCCAACAAGGATGGGCATCAGTCCTTCACACTCCTACAGGAAACACGGTGGAGGGGACATTGTTGGACCCATTCTAGAAGCCATACCACCTGATAACAGACCCACAAATCCATACAGGAAACCTAAGAACATCCTTTACAGACACAGCCATAGAGAATCTCACAAACCATTTAGCCAACAGAGCATGGCAGCACACAGGAACACACTATACCAGGACTGAATTCTGGGCTGCTCACAGGAGTGCAAGCCTGCTTCAACACCCCAAATCAATGAATCTATCATTAATACTGGAAAGGAAAGAACCCACTTGATCAGCCCTGTAGATGCAGAAAATATAATATTCAACACCTTTTCATAATTAAGAACACAAAACAAACTAGGAGAAACAGAAGGGAAATTCTCTAAGTAGAAAAATTCCAAAACATTTGGAAATTAAGCAACATACTTCAAAAATAGCACATGGGTCAAATAGAAAGAGTCAAAGGGATTTTTTGGGGGGCGAGGGGCTGGGCACTGAATCTAAGGCCTTCACATTGGCTATATCATCAGACTTTTTATTTTTTATATTTTGACAGGATTTTGCTAAGTTAAAAAGTTGCGTGGGCTGGGCTCAAACTTGTAATCCTTATGTCTCAGCCTCCTGAGAAGTTGTGACTGTAAGCATATATCTCTGTACCTAGCTTTAAATATATATATTTTAATTAAATGAAAATAAAAGTCTTAAATCAAGTTGTAACTTCTTGAGAAAGAAGGAAAATAAAGAAAAATTAAACCTAAATTAAGCAAGGGAAAAAGAAATAATAAAAATCAGTGGGGCATGGTGGGGCACGCCTATAATTCCAGCACTCGGGAGGCTGAGGCAGGAGGATTGCTGTGAGTTTGAGACCAGCCTGAGTTACATAGTGAGTTCTGGGTCAGTCTTAAATAATAAAAATAGACACCCAAGCTGGGCATGGTGCACAACTGTTTTTCTTTTTTACTTTTTTTTTTTTTTTTTTTTTTTTTTTTGGTACCAGGGATTGAACTTGGGTCCTTGCACTTGCCAGGCAAGTCACCGAACCACTTAGCTAAATCCCCAGCCCCATGGTGCACAACTGTAATCCCAGCACTTGGGAGGCAGGAGGATGGCAGAGTTTGAGGCTAGCCTGGGCTACATAGTGAGTTCAGGGCCTGCCAAAACTACAAAGTGAGACTCCATCTCAACCCCCCAATCCCAAATCAATGAAAATTAAAGAAAATTAATAGAGAAAATCAAAGAACCCAACCAAAGTTGTTTTTTGAAAAGAATGATGTTGAGAGAGAGAGAGAGAGAGAGTACATATTTCTAATATTAGAACTGTAGAGGAGGCTATCACTACTGATCCCATGGATATTAAAAGAATAATAAAGGAATACTATGAAAAACTCTCTGCCTATATATGTGATGAAATGGACCAATTTCTTGAAAGAATCCTTCAAAACTCACTCAAGCAGACAAATTGAATAGGCCCATATTTATTACAGAAATAAAATTAACTGAAAATATTAACAACTCATAACTTTCCAAATCCTGAAAGAATTAGGCTCAGGTGGTTTCACTGGTGAATTCTTCTAAACATTTTAAGAAATAATAATACTTCTTTATAATATCTTCTCAAAAACAGAAGCAGAAGAAATACTTCCTTATTCATTCACTGAAGCCAGAATGCCTTAATACTAAAACCAAAAACAGAACAAGATCAGGAAAATACAGACTAATAGTAAACATAGA